AATAATAATAATAACCTTATTTATCCTGAAGAAATGAGTCAGCGTACACAAAAATTGTCACGCTGGTATTAATTCATGTGCAGCAGCATTTTCGAAACGAATACCATGCATAGCATACTCGCTTGGCAGTGTGTTTACAACGCCCCTATTGTAAACCATTATGTATTTTATTGAACAGGCTAGCGTGTATAAATAGACTTGATTTCATCTGTTTGAAAACAATCGTTTTTTTCACTAGATCTAGAAGCTTGCTAAAGGCAAGACTTAACAAGACTTTGCGCGATTTAAGAGAAGGACTAGATAATTAATTTTTTTGTTTTGTTTTATTGATGTGTATATATTTTGTTGTACTTAACCGTGTTTCATGATCCATTGTTATGCTGGCTTTTTGTGATGGTTTACCACAAGTACAATAATCACTTTTTTACTTGAAACAGGAAACATCTGCTCGGCGGTGGACGTGGGATTAATTCAGTCAAATCTAAAGTGTTAAAACTTCAACCCTCTGCCAACTGCTCAAGGGATTATTTCAAATTCAAGGTGAGCCTGAATGATTTCTGGGTAATTAATCTCCTTGGTCAATTATATATCAAATGTACAAGTGATTGCTAATATTAATTAATGAATACCTTATATTATTATTCCAAAATGAAGAGTACTTCATTATATAACCCTTATACTAAGGCGGTACAAATAAATAAACAAAGTTACTTCTACTCTCCATTAAACTGCAACCCGAAGTATTGCGATTTTTTTAAACGATATTACATATAAAAGGAATCCTGAAAAGACAAGTGTCAGCCAATCACAACCGAGAATGCATTGATAATCATATATTGACATCCATCGATCATAACTAACGATATGTCCCACCATAGCGTTGTGATGAAAAATAAAATCACGATTACGTTTAAAAGGGTATCAGGAAAGACTAACGGTCAGCCAATCACAACCGAGAATGCATTGCTAATCATATATTGACATACATGATCATAACCTACGATATGTCCCACCATAGTGTTGTGGTGAAAAATCATATCACGATTACGTTTAAAAGGGAAACAGGAAAGACTAACGGTCAGCCAATCACAACCGAGACTGCGAGATGCACTTCCATCAAAAGTTATATATAACTGGCAACGCCATGAAAAATGTCAGCATGAAGTACGAAATCAAAGAGCTAGTTCATTTTGAAAATAATAATATAACATAAAATGGTATCGTCAACCCTAATCGAGTTTCCGAAAGGAAGAAGTCGAAAAAAAGGCTATTTCTAGCTCAACATTACTGAAGGTGACCAATTAATCCATAAAACCTCTAATACTACTGGTGCAAGGCGATAACTATCGCCGTCAGGTAGTTCTTAAGAAAAATCAATAGAAAGAAAATTTCAAGGACCAGCGGAAAGCCTTTTTTCATTAATTTCTTTCGTTATAAAACAAATTAGAWAAAAACACGGAAGTCAGAAGGCGAGGCTTATCAGATCTATCTTTAAACTATCTAAACCACGTTTTACTAACAGCAATCAATTAATTTTCTTTTTTTTATAGCGCGTGTCTGTGGGTCGGGTTTTGCTCTTGCTTTTGCTATTTGATCGTTACTCGATAATGTGTGCATACAGAGCATACACGATACTAATGTGGTTGGTATAGGGATTGTGATAGTGCATAAGTTATGTTTGTCGGTCTTCCTGTCCAAACTTCGTTATTCTGAGTTTCCGGATAGTGTGTTAGTTCATTTAGATTAATCAGTCTCACTACTGACACAAGAATCATCATTATAATCATCCAATAGGCCTTTAACCAACAGGTCACGTGACCCAACCTCCTTAAAAACGAGAAGTTGTGTCACAATGAACAAGACAAAGTTAGTGTATTTATAATATAAGATAGAACACAACTTTGATAAAAGATTTCCAGGAGTTCCTTGCATTAGCGCAAAGTCTACCGGACTTCCCACTTCATGTGTRAGGTGCAAAATTTGCGTTTGTATGTTATCGATTCTTACGAGATAAAATCGATAAAAAAACTGATTATATTAAGAAAAACCTAGCAGACTTAATAAACCATAAGGTTGTTCATAATTAAAAAACGTCTTCTTAGAGTTTATTTAGATGAAACCTTTTTATAAATATTATTAACAAACCTTAAATGAAAAAAAACGCGCATCTGTTGACACTGGTAAAGCTTTCTAATATAGGGTATATATATATAATATATGAATATTAGTGATGCTGATGCTGGTTTARATTGAGCATCTTCAACTCAACTCAATATGCATTTCGTTAATTATTTTTACCCTTCGATATATGAGTACTTGGTGTTATTAAACATGGATAGTCTGCTATAGTTTAATTAAATACATAACAGTGTAAATGTTATGGTTTAAGAGTATCGTGTCAATAACAACACGTCCTATTTAGAGGCAAACACTCTACGAGATCAATTTTGTCGGCAACCTGTTAAGTTTCGAAGGTATTGTCACTTGTGACATTACCCAAAGTAAAATCCAAAGCACTTTATCTTTTGATAGTCTTTATTTGTCTGAAGCAACAGTAATATCCTGAACGCTGGAGTTTCAAATCTGAACGTCTTCTTTGGAACGGAAGCGCACATCTTTGTGAAGCCAGTTTTTGATTAGACACCACATGCCTTCAGCAACCCTGATAAATGCTTTCATTTATCCTTACCGTCCATAACTAACAGATAAAGCTGTTTTTATAAATGGCGCAATCAGTAAGAGAACGAAAAGAAAGGCTGTACATCAGTGAACTAGTGAATCCAGCAGTCTCTGACGCCTTAAGCTTCAAAGCGGGGCTCGTAAATCGTTTAACGGTTTAACCAAATGACTAGACTGTGTCCCTTTTCATATTCCACTTTAAAGAGTAGAGCTGTCGCCCAGGCAATCATTTCATAAATTTGACTAACAGCTAATGAACGATGCTCGTCTCAACTGATGTTTTACAAGGTATGTCAAAATATCATTAAGGATCTTGAAGGAGCTAGGGAAAGGGTTTCTCGATAGTAGGACGCTATTTAAAACTGGAGTTAGTTCAACTAGTAAGTAAACAGGTTAGTGAAATCGATATACGCAAAAGCGGATTCCGAGTCGTGGTTTTGTAGAACAAAAACAATTTTTTGTGCTAAAACCAGTGATACTTGCTCGCTGTATTTTTCCTCATCGGGCCGGAGAATTCTTGGTAGTTTTAGTTTGAGGCAGATTGTTTTATGAATAAAGTAATGCTGCTTTTATTTATTCGGATAAACTCCATAACGTATTACTGCACCAGGCCAACGCAATTAAGAACATATAGTTTTAGATTGAGTATTTTTGGGGCTATACCGTCTAAATATAGTTATAGCCATGATCCTAAAAAGGCCATGATTGGTTATTACGGTAGTCAGGCGTCAGTCACTTGATTGACTCAGTCATGCATGTTAACCTAGCTTGACTTTGCTGATTTTTGAAGTCATGTTATAAATTGAATTCAATACTCGATGCGTAGCAATGACACTCTTTCTTTGAAGAAAAGACGCTTTTGGATTTTTGCTTTGAAAAAAAGACGGTTTTCAGCCTTGTTCTCACCAACTGTCAGATAGATTGGAATACTCTAAAATATTGGCTAATAGTTTGGAACGCTGCTTCACTCCTTGCTCAGCGCTGCATGTCGGCGCGTTCATACGCGTGTACCAGGATAGCAAACTTAAGCCGCGGAATATAAAAAGGAAACCGTGGAAAAGAAAAGAAATCCTCGTTTACCTACGTATTATAGTTTATTTTTTCCACCAACATTTAGCTTTATTTCTGGTCACCTTTTCCTAAAATGTTCGTCCACTCGCAATTTCCGCATTCATCAACCTAGAATTGAGGAATTTTTGTTTTTATAAGTAGCCCGAAAAAAATTATGATGATAAACTTTATGCCTTTTTAATACGCTTTGCTTGACATATATTGCCGTTTATGAAGCGATAAATAGACGCCTCCAACAGTCATTTAACCCTCTTTTCATAATACCTCACAGCTAGTCCAAGGTCGTATTCTCGTTTTATTACGTTAACTGTTTCTTTGTTTTGTTTTGATAAGGCTGAGTCGATAAGTAAAATCTGCCGGCATGAGCTCCTCTAATCGCAACTCAGTAATGTCAATATCGATTTTGGCGGGAAAGTAAGCGCGCGCGCGTCTTACTCATACTGACATTAATATAAGTAAAATTCTTGAAGGGCTGTACGTAGAACAGTTATTATCGGTTTTTATCTTTGACTTTGCATCTGATTTTTTCTGTCATTTTATATGAACATTATTCCTCTTTTCTAAGGTTATACTTAGCTTGGTCTTATTGTCTATCTCTTTCACTTCCATTTTGGGCTTTCCCAAGGAAAAAAATGCGTTCGTTATCTTCCTCTTAATTAATTCTATTTATATATCTGTAAATGAAACCTTGACTTCAACTTCAAAGCTCAGCTTCGCACTTAATTGTATAAAAGATATATTCAATATTATTTGAATTGAATAGATAATATTAGTTATATATTATTGGTTAGTGGAATATAGCAATTATCATGGCAAATGATGCGCCGTTATGGAAGTTCCTATATCCTGTGGGCGTTGAGAGGCTTTGCCCTTCCGGCTAATGTGAATTTGAAAGGCATTAAAAAAGAAAGAAAAAAAAAATGGAAAGAAAAACATTTATATGCAAATAATGATTGATATTTGTCAATTTACCCTAGAAGAAGAGTAAATTAGCAATTTGCCATTAAATTATCATGAAACATAGTTCGACGCTCTCCCGATGTTTTAAAGAGGATTTCCGGTTATTTTAGACCTTATTTACGTTTTGGATCACACACATCCTAATCTAAGATCAAGTTTCTGATTGATTCTAGGCGGCGGTTTTCTTAAGGAAGTATCAAAATCAGTCGGCTTCTCACCTAACGGGAATGAAAATTAAAAATTGCTATTCTTGACACTAGAGAAAAACGTTTTCCACATTCGTGCATTTCAACACGTTTTCTARGAATTTTGAAGAGTTTAAGCAGAGGTTATAGAGTTAACTCTGGTTTGAGTGAGAAAATAAATGTTTGTTTTCTCAAAGTATACAAAAAATTTCGAGAGTATACTTTTGTCAGATCAAGATACTGTATTAACAAACACAATATGAAAGAATTAGCCTTAAGTTTCAAGCATGGACACTAAGTTTGGGCATTTTGTGAAGTCCAATTTATTAGGCATRTTTGAAARTCAAATTTACTTATGTTTTGACTAATTTGCACACRGATTCAGAGCATGCGCMGACGTTTTTCACTCGTGTCGYTATTCTTACGATGATAGTTATTATTTTGGTTAGTTAGTCATCTAAGTACACACGGTGCTGCTACATGTCAAGATGTTTTGATGTTTTCGTGTTTTTTTTTTTATTCAGAAAAAAAAAATTTTTTTCCCACTTATTCAAAACAAAAGACTCAAAATCCAAAATTCAAAATATAAGTTTTAAAAGCCATCCAGTATTCGTGAAGGAATAATTGTTTTTACTTAGGCAGGAATATTGTTAATAGAAAACTTATCACATATCGATAACAAAAACATTGGTATTGAATATCCCAAATAAATCTACAGCTGTACCTCAAAACGGCCGAATGACAAAGGTTTCATAAATGGAAATATATGCCTATTTATAACGACAGTAAAGTATTTTTGGTATCAGCTAGTCTTAAATTAAACCCCAATAAAACTAACATTTCTTTTATATCGATATCATCAAAAACATGCGGATCAACTTTAGGAAACGGTTAACTCAGAGATCGAGGAAACCCCGCGGAAGCGAAGCCCTCAAATGAAGAGAGAGAGAGAGACCCAACAAACAATATCCAATAATACACTATTGCTTTGCCACCATTGCTTAAACGAGTGTAATTATATAAATATATAATTATATGAAAAWATAKATATCTGACTTTGTTTAGTTCGAACGGGTTTGCTGAATAGTATTTGCCTTATGGAAGAACCYGGCGAGGAAACTCATGATACGTAAATGAATTACGCATCTCGTAGTGATCATGGGATAAGGGTTCGAAATTAAATCTTACTCTCTGGCAACGGTATTTGCATTGGAAAAGGCAATTCATGCATATCCTTCCATACACCATACCCCCTGCAATTTTCAAAAATGTAAATGCGGTTAAGCTGCAGAGAAGAATGACATCATATACTTTGCAACAATATGGGATCTTCCTTTTTGTACTTTATTGATGCTCATCGTATTTATTGATTTGAAGTTGGAAAACGTTTAGAATTCCCATCATCCCAAATCCATACCTTCGTATGTATTCTCTTTTCRCAGTATTAGCTGTTCTTGCCTTGCTTTGATGCGGTATTAAGCGTCCGTTCTTGCTTACCTGACTTGTGCTGATGTGTAACAGATCTGGAGATACATATTAGTATTGAAATCAGTTTACGCTTTAACTAAGGTTTACGCAAACCATTTAAGTAAAACAAGATGTGTTAGATCCGTTCGGTGTTGCAATACATCACGTTGGAGATTATTATTAGTTTGATATTTAAAAGAATAACAATATTGTATATCCATTCAGTCGTCGATCAGATAATATCGTATAAACTAAAGGCAAACTATTTTAAAGAAAAGTCGGAAAAACTACTTATCGGAAARCGTAGTTTGTCTTTCATTGTTATGGTATATGACTTCTCCATATTAGTTCATTTTGTGTAAGCATAATTCAAACAACATATGAACATGCTAATTCGATTACATTTAAAAAACTCCACTAACTATTTCAGTCGTGCCAAAAATKTCTCCCACGTTTTCTTGCATAGAACATATCAGTTGTTTTTGAATGACYATTGATGTCACTATTTTTCAAAAACTGAAATCCTCGCTCGACAATAGAAGCAAAGTGTAGACAGACTTATTATTTTTTATTTACAAAGATGTCCGTGGGTAGTGTTTTTGTATATTTATATAATGTTACCAATCAACGGAAGTTTGTCGATCTCTATTGTGTTTAATGTAACATGTTTAACTCTTTTGTATTACTAAAGCAAAGTTTAAAATATCAGTATATAAAAGCGCAAGCCAGTGACTGACAAACTTAGGAAAACATTGCAAATGATATCTTCAGTAAAAGAACTTATAAATTCAAAGTCAATAACATCCTTTTTGTTTGGTCTTAATGTTTTCCTATTTCCTTTTTTTGGGTTATATCAATCTCAACCTTCATCAGTAAACAAAAACGCTTCTAAAGAGAAATCACACCTTATTTGAAAATGGAAARGATTAAATGTCGACGTATATATATATTTCTTATATTTGGAAGTCTTTGTTTTCCAGTACTGAATAAAATAAATAAATAGATAAAAAAAGTAAGAAAGGAAAGCAAATAATAACAAAAAAGGGAAGAGTATGAAAAGAAAAAAAAAGGAAGATAAGATTAATTTTCAGAAAAATAATAACTGACCTGATTGTTTTCATCGTAAAAACGCAATAAGAAAATAATACGGTTTTGCTTTGGCTTCATTTTGGCTTCATTTCTTCTCCAGTCTAGGCTTATTGGCTTTTATCTTGGGATCAAATTAGCAAGTCATTAGGACATTGATACCAAGTGGACATTGCAGAGATAATACGGTTTTTCAGAGATTTTCCTCAAAGTGATGATAAAAATGATACCACTGGAGCAACGTGGTCTTAGGATTGATGTATCTGGGATATTTGTTTCATCCTTTGTCGTGGATACTGACTTTAGTATATATTTTAGTTGTGTGATTGATTTGGGTACTGAACTAATTCAGTTATTTTCGCTCTTTTTTCATTTTTTCTTTTCCTTTTTTTCTTTTTTTCTTTTGCACTCGTATGTAGAAATTTTAATTACACCAAGAAGAGATGATCTGCAGCTGATAACTTGCCTTAGGCTGACGTTATGAAATCAAGTTTTTAATTAACTATTATGAAAAGCTTTGTGTTCGTGAGAAAAAATAGCGAGCACTCTCGAAGATGACTTTTAAGCTGTTTCAAATATTCAGTTTAATTTGCTCGGTTTCCGGATGTGATTAAACAGCAAGGATTGCGATTTATGCAGTAAAAAAAACATAACCCGTTGGGTATTAACACTAAGATAAAAAACAATAAACGATAGTTTATTGACGATATTCGGTGACTAAACGTTCTAAAATTCCATCCAGTGAACTTGCAGTTTTTTCAACACTGAGTGACCAAGATGACACAATAGAACAATTTATCTCATGTGCACGCATATCCATTAGGCGCCTCTGTACAGCTGGTGTAAACTTAATGTATTTAGTGTTTAAAATATAGCAAACCGGCTTTGACCAAAAAAGCCAAAACATTGCATTGATGTTCAGTACTTAAGTGTAGATATAAAGAGAGAGTAGTCTAGAGGGATTTCGAGTTTTCTACTTCATATACATATATTTTTCATGTGGAATTGAGGAGAAAGGAGGAAAATATTATCCTTATCAATAACAATGGAACAGCAAAGATGATCATAAATACAATGGTTATGAAAGTATTATAAGCAGCAGCAGCAGCAACAGCAGCAGCAGCAGCAACAAAATGAAACAGCATGAACAACAATGACAACAACAATGAATAACAATAGCAATTGATGGTTTTCAACCATTCCCAAGAGAACTAAATAACAAAAGACACTGCGGCCATTTGGAGGATATAACAAAAGAATTCATTGACAATTCTTTTGTTAAGTTCCTCCAACAYGGCCGCCGTGAACAAACCATCAATAATGACAATGCTAATAGTACTCAGGAACAACGGTATAATTGAGGACGTCTTTYAACATTCTGTCTTTACTTCAGCTATGCAAGCAAATAGTGCACCTTCTTCTAGTAATTAATGATTTTCCAGGTCCTTTTACGAGCTCCGCATCCATTAAAACGACTAGTACTGCGTTAGAAAACATTAATATTTCCGGGAAAATGATATAGCGGAATTAGCATTTAAAGAAGTATATTTTCAGTAAATGTGCTAGATTGTTTACGATGCGTTACGGTGACTCCAACACAATTACAAGTGAATATTGCGATTTTTTAACTCGCTCGTATCGCGTTCGAAAATTAAGGCTTTTAATGATGTATTCGAAATTTTTTTTTTTGAGTCGTGTTTGCCGTTACGGACCGATATTCTAACAGTTGGGTTTTCACAATATTGTCTTTCCTTTTGTTTAAAAATCGATCGAGCTAAATTCACCCTCAATCATGTTCCGAGCCCTACCTTACCAATTATGCCTTACGATACCACCTGAGTTTGCGTATTWCTTCCACGCACATGAACGTTTGATTTAGAATTTAATTCAAAATATTCTTACTTATAAGAATTCTCCAAGGTTAGGAAGCGGCACGGGATGGTGTACGCTACTTCAGTCCCCCCCCCCCCTGTGATCATGAATGAGTCTCTCTTTGTTTGGCATACCGAAGGAAAACAGACCGTTGTACTAAAAACCCATGATAAAACTTCTCATATTGCAAGTTGTTCAATAATGTTAATTTAATCTAAATTGATAGTACTTTTAATATTATCCACCACACCTAAACTACGAGACATGTATATGAAAGAAAGACAGTCTAAGGATTTCTTAAATAAATGAAGTATGTCTACGTTACTGAATATAAGAAAGAAACGATGATAACACGACATAGAAAAGGGAAGAAAGAAAGAAAGAAAAAAAGAAAGAGAGAAAGAGAGAAAGAAAGGAAGGAAGAAACAAGTAAAGCAAAATATTTCTTAAGTAATTATTAGGACATACGCACGCAAAGAATATAACAGTAAGCTCACTTGTAATTCTCTAATTCACTCACCAGCGCAGCGTTAGTCTTGACGGTTCGAAATCTGTACGTTTTTAATTACAARCCTTCGAGGTTATGACTTTTACTGCAACCAAAACTGATTACAAAATGAATGACCAAACCACCTGACGTCTCTTCCATCATTACTGAAACACTTCCAATTGATCCCTTACTTTTAAATATTTCTAGTTTATTGAAAAACGATTTTATTGCCTGGGGCTAAATATATTTTATTCTGAGAATTGCTAGTCATAATAAATAGCTTTCTGGAAATTTACACCTTGTCTTACTCATTAGCACTTGCCGAAACCTTTTCAGTGCTACGCAGACAGTTAATGAATAGTGCCGGTGTGTTTAATGTGGTCGTACTTTTAAAGGCTGGTTTTACAGYGTTCGCAGTAACTAAGAGATTCAATTTACTCAGTTGGTAGTAATCGAAATAGTTGCATTTAGGTCGATTTTGAGGTTGTTTGGAAAATGCAAAAACAGTATTAGGGTTGAATTCTAGCCGGTCTGGTTTTGACAATTCAAAGGGTTTGCTAACAAAAAAACATTGAACTAAAAACACAAAAATCATGGTCGAATTTGAGAGCGGGTCGTACGAAGCACGAATGATGTGCGTTGCTAATGCGTCGCATTTTATCCACTGCTACTCGTCGATTCCGAGTTCTGTTCCAAATGTAAGTTTTGTTGTTTGTTGGTTCTTTCCCGTGCTTCGAAACTCTTTATCACCGGTTTCTCTGATTTTCCTTTCTCTGGAAAAATCAACTCCTAAATTTCGAAATTCCTTAATTTCGTGCCTACAAGAAGCAGAAATGCGGAAAGGAAGAATGAAAACAATTTGACTTAACCGCCCCCATGTTTGTYTAAATTCATTCTTTCAAGCTCCAAGYTTATTTTGTCCACTCATGCTTTGCGCRCMGCGCTCACCGTACAGCTGGATAGCGGTCGAATGTACGATTACTGAAAGTGTGCKTTAAAAGACGTTTTAAAATCGGCAATGAAGCATGACGTTCAATGGATTTACCATATAGCTAGTGGTAGTGATTAAGCATGCTTGCGGTCCACGAAGTCCATGAAGTTAGAGATTGTGCAGTGACCAGTATGGTTAATGCTATCAGATTGAAACAAAGTTTGGCTTAGGTTGGTTGATGCAAAAAGTGGTCGATCTAAAGAGGGAAACATTTTCAATCCAAACAAATTAACAAGGGAGGATTAGAGCATTTAGGAAGCACTAGATACAACGGCGTAACTTCAAAGACGATTTTGCTTTAAATGACCGTATTTGCAAACGTAGATAAATAAGCAGGGCATTAMTTTTTTTAAGGATGCAAGCAAACTAATTCTAAAAGTTGAACTTAATTTATACTGGGCTATACAGGAGGATAAAAAAGCCACATTGTTTATGCTAGTTACTAGTTAGAAAATTAGCTTTTGCTTGACCAAAAACAGACAGGTAGGCACCGATAGACAACAGGGGAAGTAGTATATCATGCCTGAGGTTTTTTTTGCAAACTTTAAGCAAACATTTTATACCTAATTTCATTACTGTTTTAATGCCTTTTGATTAGAACGACAATAACAGTGCAATACATCAGACCCAATTCTTGAGTTTACATTTGCCTTAAAATTGAGMAAAGCAACAACGACAAGAAACATACCATCAATTATGTAATATAGTCAAGGTTTGAAATGTTTCTAAAACTGTAATCTTCTGCGCAATTAAATACTAAAAATRAAWWWWAAAAAWAAAAAAAATTGCATAATACAGTTTYCTAYTGCGTGGGTRGCATGAAATATAATTTWYTTCAATATTAGAAAAAAGCATTTTAAATATCTTTCCCACCCAATTAGTCATGTGGTATGTCCTCAGTACGACGTATTTCCTTCTGYTGTCCGTCTATTTTCAAAATAGCTATCAGTAAGCAGGGGCATATATATGAACTAAAGTATTAGTCCTTTCAAAAATGAATTTCTGTGGCTAGAACAACAAGAAAAAAAAAAGTGCAAATACGACGAAGTCGATAATGAATTTTATCACAAATATAAATTTTCTCGTTTCCTGATTGGTCGAGATTGCACCAACACGTGATAGAGCATTTCCAACCTGAGAAACGGAAACCTTTACATAATATATGTACGATGTATAATGAGCAAAAAACTCGTTATAAATACATTCGAGGTGATATAAAATCTAATATAAAAATATATGAATACTAATATTATGCTACTATCAATATAAGGTAGATATCTAAGGTATATAAATATTATGTAAATAAATAATTTATTAATAGTGAATATGTAAAGGTGTGAAATCGATATGATGGATATATGGATATGAATACCACACACATCCAGCACGAATGCACACGACTCCCATACAGCCACCACACAACAAATAAAGTAGCTATATGAGAGCCGTGCACACCCATAGCGAATATGTGAAATATTCATATTCATAATAGATTATTGAGGTGTTCTTGTAAAGAGAAAATATTTATCGATGATATCAAACTTGATATTAATTTTAAAAACGTTGTAAATAGAGTACAAACACTATAAGTGTGCAACATAAATACCACTGAATAGAGCTAAATTATGCTAATCCTATTGTTTTCTCTTGTTTAATAAGCACTATTTACTACTAAATAGTGCAAAGTGTTGCATACTTTTAGAGTTTGTACTCTATCGAGAATATAACTAAATGCAATTTRACTCTAATGTTCGTAAATGTTATATAAGCACGATGTGCCACTGGATGTAGGTTATTATAATGGCGCTATTAAATAAGTCATTCAAAGAGTCATTATCATTTATTTTTTTGGATTCCACCAACAATTTGTTTTCTATTTAACCAGTGGCACGTTGCTAAGTGTCTGAAACGGTTTACTTTTACAACCTGAAAACGTGTTCTTGCAGAATGCACCTGAACAGTCTTTTTCAGCTTTAGAGATAAGCTAATTTTTTATATCTGATAACATCTTCTTAGCTCTGTGGYTGAGGTTGTCATATAAATTTGGTCCATAGAGTTATCCATGAATCTCTCTTTCCTACAGAGATATCAATTTCGCAGTTTGTACAGCACAAGCAATCTCTTTGCTACTATAAGGAWCGATATCAGTCACATTTTCAGTAAAAGCACTTTTGAAGTGTAGGCAGTGGATCATATAAGRCCAGTGGTTCTTAATGTCATCTGAATTGCAAATGCGCGTGCGCAGCCTTTTGGCTGTTTAAATAACACATAATAAGATATCTTGAAGACAAATCATCATAACGGTTTCATTGGTTATTAATGAAGTTRCACCAAATATTCTCATATTCTGCCTTGTGTTAATCGGTTCAACTGTTCACTGCCGGTGTTTAGTGAGTTAGAAAGTCAGCTTAGTTTTTAAAGCGTTTATTATAAGGAGTACTTGATTTTGACAACGCTGGACGACTGAATTTGGCTTTAAAAACATCAGCTTCTTAAAGAAGAGGAATCGCTTGCTGGTGTTTTGATTTGTGAGTAGACTGAACAGTAACTTTGTGTCAKTGTCTTCTAAGGTATTAGGATCTTTTTTTTGACTGGTCCCGTTTTCGTTTTCCTTTCTAGAAGGCCAGTTTA